AAAGGAGGCGATTTAACAATACTCATAGAATAAAGCTTTCCGGGGGGGGCTGGTCTGTAAATCTCCGGGTAACGTCAGGTGGGAGGGCACGGGGAGTGTGTGGGGGGGGGACGGGCCCCTCACATGACGCTGGGCCTCACGCAAACCCGCTCACTAACGACACGCGCTGGTGCGTGTCCCCCCTCTGCTCATGGGGCGACACGGCCCCTAATGGACAGGCCAGGGAACCGGGGCAGGGAGGACGAGCACACCCCCTGAGTATCTGCGCACCTGACACCACAGCCCCCTGCGCACCCTCTGTACACAACACACACCACTCACCACACACACACCACCTCAACACATACACACCACTGCACTGCATGCACACACGCTGTGTACACACACACACACACCACCTCACTGCCTGCACACATACTGTACACACACACCACCTCACAGCATGCACACGTGCTGTGTAGACACAGACACACCTCACAACACGCACACACATACACACACACCCCTCATCACACACGGACACACTGTACACACACACACCTCACTGCGCACACAGCCCCCTACTGCACCCTCTGTACACAACACACACCACACACACACTCACACCACCTCACTGCACACACACACACCCCACACATGCACACACACACCTCACCGCGCACACAGCCCCCTACGCACCCCCAGTACACAACACACACACACTTCACCACGCACACACACACACTGTACACACACACCACTCATTGTGCATGCACACTGTACAGACCACGTGCACAAACCATTCATCGCGCACACTGACAGTACACACGATATGTACGCACCACACTCACACCAACCCACCCACACAGTACACACCTCTCGCCGTACACACACAGTAAAAACAACGAGGAGTCCTTGTGGCACCTTAGTGACTAACAAATATATTTATTATTGATTTAACAGTACACCCCCTATGCACACACCGTACACCATACACACCCACACACCCACTCTACACATTCCCCCCATCAGACTTGCTACTCCATCCCCCCCACACCCACTGCTCTCATGATCTATCCGGCAGAGGCTTCCAGAGGGCCCATCACCCTTGCTTCTGGGCTTCACCTGCTCCCAAGCACAGGCCCAAGGCAGAGGAAGGCCATTCAGCCTGGCACGTGTTTGCCCACCCCCGCTGTAGCCTGGAGGGGCAGAGGGGGGTTTGTCCACCCATGTCCACCCCTCTCCCCTCAGATTTGCTACTCTGGCAGCCGCCAGGAGGTGGGGGGTCTGCCGAGTCGAGGCCATGGACTGGGTGGACGCCCTACAGACAAGCCTACACCCTCCCCAGCCCTAGATCTCAAAGCGCTTCACAAAGGCAGGCCAGTACCCAGCAGATGGGGAAACCGAGGCACAGAACAGGCAAGAGATTTACGGGCAACGTTGCGGTTAGAACGCATTGAAACAGCCCCACCCCAGAGGTGGCTGCATCTCAGGCGGGCGATGCCCACACACTCTGCAAAGCACAGGAGGAACGATCCTGACCCTAAGCACTGTATCATTAACAGACACAGAGGGGAGCTGGGGCGGGGAGGGGAGGCTGTATGGGGCAGGCAGGGAAGCAGCCAGTGGCTGGGGAGGGGGGCAATTATCCCTGGGGGGGGAGGGGGTGTTGATTTCATTAGAGTGGTCATTAGCAGACAATGGGCAGAGTTTCTTATCAATGACCCTCATTCCCACACAATGGGCTTGCTGATGGCTTCCCTAATTAGGCAGGGGGCAGGGGACAATGGGGGGGGGGCTGCTATCACCAGGCAGGGGGCTTCCTCAAGGAGGCACCCGCAGGAACTTGTGCATCCCTGGGAGCCAGGATTCTCTATGCAGCTCTGGGAGGGGGGTGGGATCTAGTGGTTAGAGCAGGGGGGCTGGGAGCCAGGACTCCTGGGTTCTCTCCACGACTCTGGGAAGGGAGTGGGGTCTAGCGGTTACAGCAGGGCGTCAGGATTGCTGGGTTGTTCCTGGCTGTGAGAGGGGAGCCAAGTGGGTCTCCCTGCGTCCCTGACCCTCTTTGGGGGTGGGCAGAGGAGATCAAACATGGGCTTTCTGGATGTTAAAGCATACGTCTCTCCGGCCTGACCTAAAAGCCAGGCCCTGAGAGTGAAGGCTGCAGAAGGTTCACGTGGCCCAGCCAGCAGCCAGGACAGAGCTCCCTGCAGAATGGAGCTGGGTTACGCACCCCCACCCTCCGGGTCTCCTTCCACTGTCCGTGTGGCACCCGGCACGCCGGGGACCCTGCTCTCGGTCAGTAACGAGAACACGTTGGACAGAGCTAAAAATCTACAGTGAACTTGGCTTTTAAAGTCTTGTTAGTTATTAAGCAGAGAAAACTCCCCCCGCCCCCTCTCCAAATACCTGTTTAAATGGGGCCTTTCAGCTCACAAACAATGGGGGAAACTGAGGCACAGCACGAGGACGTGACTCATTTAGGGAGCCAGGACTTGGGCCTAGATTTCCCTGAGCCACCCAGTTCAGCGCCTTCCTTATCCATCCGGCCAGCCTTTCATCCCTAAACTAACCCCCCGGTGACAGACAGCGTGGCCTAGTGGCTAATGCACCAGCTCTATTCTATGCCCCCGGGGCGCAGGGTGGGGCACCCTGGGCCAGCTCCCTTCCTGCTTTTACAGCGGGGCTGGGCTGCTGTTTTATGGGATGGGAGCGGGGTTTGTTCCTTTGTCTCCCAGGGAAACCCACGATGAATTTTATTGCTGCTTTAACTCATCTCCTGGCCATGCTGCGTGCCTGCCAACCCCTGCAGCAACAGGGCGGGGTGGGGGATGGCGGGTTTTCCCTGCCACCCTGTCCTGAGCGGGTTGGAATCACCCTCCTTCGCCCTGGGGGGATCAGGGCGGGGTCGGGGGTGCAGCCCAGCCCCGCCCCCAGGGTGAGTCACCTAATGCAAACAGAGCTCAGCGCCCCTACCCATGTATGGCCCCAGGGCCCAATCCTGCAGTGCCCTCCCCTGGCGCCGGGAGGGTGACCCCCAGCCAGGGGTTAAAGTCCCAAGAGTCAGTTCCTTCCCCTTCTCCACGCACGCTGAGCGACTCGGGGGCATGGGGCTGCGTCGATTTCACCTGCTCCCCGCAGCACCCCTCGCTAAGGTGCCTTCCCCCCACCAGGCCCATGCACAGCCGGCCGATATTAACCCGTCCCCGTGGCAGAGAGACTGGCTGGGACGGGCCTCTGGCCCGTTTTGGTCCGGTTCCCTGCCTCCCGGGGCAAGGGGCTCAGCTCGGCCATCGGAGCCGCGGATGAGAACGCAGAGGCTGTTTCGCGTCAAATTCTGCCATTGCAAACCTTTTCCTATTCCGAAATGGACGAAAAAACAAGCTACAAACAAACACCAATTAGAAATATCCCATAAAATTCTGAGGGTGGGGGGAAAAAAAACCCAAACCGTTTCAGGTTGAACCAAAATGTTTTGTTCTGATTTTGACCTTTTATTTTTTAAAATACAAAACCAGCGAATCTCTGCATCAAACCGTCCTGCGCCGGGGGTTCTGGCCTGACCCAATCGCTTCGTTTCGGGAAGGGGAGCAGGAGATTTCAAAATGAAATTTCGAAATTGACGTGTTTTTCCCCAAATCTTTCGGCATTTTTCATGGAAAAACCATTTGGATAAAACTTTGTTATCCTCCAGCCCGGCCCTCCTCTCCAACGCAGGGTTGGCTAAGAGCTGGCACCTTGCAGCCATTCAGAAGGTTTAAATCCAGAAGGGACCATTGTGTTTCCTTTAGAAAGACACCCAGTCTTGATCTACAGCCCCCACACAAATGATGGCCAATCCACCCGGTCCCTGGGTCCTGTCTTCTGATGTTACGCCCACTCCACGTTCAAAAAAAAAAGCAAAACAAACAAAATAAACAACCGCACCTTATTGCTAATCTGCATTTGCATCTGCAAATGGCTCTGGTGTTGCTTTGGCAACAATTTGGGAAGGACCCCGTTATTAATGAACTCTCATCACATCTGGGGCTCATCGCCACCCCAAACTCTTGCCCCGATCCTGGGAGAGTCAGCCCCCGCGCACACCCCCCAAATCTGCCTCAGTAAGATGAGCTACCGACCGTGAGCAGAGATGGCACGCCAACACCCCGCCGCCGACCCGTTTCCCCGGCAGCTGCTCCTAGACAAGCATCCCGGTCCGACTCTTGGTCTCCATTTTATTCCCCACCTGCTTTTGGTTTTTTTTTTTACAAACCAAGCCGCCGGCGTGTTCCTACAAGCGCTGGATCCACCCTGTGCTCGCCGCACAGCCGGGGACGGTTAGGACTCGCTCGGGTCGTGTCGTGGCTGGAAACATCGGATGGAGACAGGCAGGACAAGGTTGGTGTTTAGAGCCTGGCCGGGGGTGGGGTTTACGGCAGCCTCCCCCGCCACCCCCGACAGCAGATGAAATTGACATTTTAAGAGCAACACATTTTTCCCTCTTCAACAGACCTCCCCCTGGGCCCCAGCGGAACAGTCAACGAGAGGCCGAAGCACTGAAGTGGGATGCTGGAGATCTCCGCTCACTTCCCTGTGCCAGTCACTATAGTTCTCTCTGGGCCTCAGTTTCCCCTCCAGATGCTCATGCATCCTTGGTTCAGTTGCTACGGTGATCCACTGGATCATTCACTATTTTTATGTGGCTGCCCATCACCGTAGGATCTGGGTGTCTTCTGTGGACAATCAAGAGCAAGAGCAAAGTCCCTAGTGGATTGCATGGAGGCTCTGTCTCTTTTCCCTTCAAAACTCAGCGTGGGGTAGGGGTTTTTTGGGGGTCGGGGCAGCGTGGGAGGGGCGTGGTGTTGGGATCGTGAGCGCTGCAGATGGTGGAAAAGCGGTCTCCAAGAGACAGGCTGTGCGACGTTTCCTAAAGAGATTCAGGATTCGCCTCATCTCTGGAAGACGTCCATTGTTCGTCCTCAGCTTTCACGCGACAGGCCGTGGGCAGTGAGATCTGAATCGCCGCAGGGTAGCGAAGCTGGGGCAGTGGGTCACGGTAACATCCGTGGTGCCTGCCGCCCCCAACCCCCCCAGTCAGTCCCACACCCGCTTCCCCGCTCTCTGAACTGCCGTGGTGGAAGTCAGGGGGTTCCTGAGCTCAATAC